GAGTTCAAAAATTCAAACTCCCCCTGACGGCTAAAATTATAACTTCAAGTTAACTAGTATTTTGACACTTGTTTTGTTGACCATGGTGTTTACATCTGATTCCGAAATAGAAACCGCAATTGAACACTTTTGTTCAAATCATCCAAAGCTTCATTGTCGCAACCGCAAAACTACTGGTATTATATGGCCCCTTGGTGTGCATCAGCTGTCCTGTTCATGTGTGACTTAATGACATCTTGTGTTGCAGTTTGTTGGTCTGTGTCCCATATATGCGTGTCCTTAACTGGTAAATTTCGTAAAAGTTTCAGTTTCGGACGATTTATACTGGTCGACGATGTCTAACTTCAACTCGGCAGTACTGACCACTTGAAGGCGTACCTGCTTTGTAATCTTCGGTATTGAAATGCAGTGAGCTCACCCACATAGTCTCAGAACCATCAGAACAGTGCGTATTATGTATCGTACGTCTACTTGCATTCATTTTTGTTATAATTGCAACTCTCCCTTTTCGCTTGTTTACCAACTCCAACAAGTCTCAACCATCAATCGAAAACGAGTAATTTGACGTTTCGCAGCGCCCCCATCGGTAGTTGAACTCTTTTGTCAAACTGTAACTTAATTTGAAGTCCCTTTCTCAAAACCTACACCAACATCGAATTTCCGAATATGCGTATGGGGAAATGCAACAGTAACATAGCAGAAGCTGTAAGAACTCACACCAGCATAGGGTTAGAGAGACTGGACGATTGGCTCCAGGAATTCACGCAGATAGTGGACGATGCTCGGATTCCAGACCTAGAGAAACAGGTCTTTTGCAGCAGCCCATTCCAGGAGAACGCGGAGCATGCACAACTGACACTTAACAATTCTTTATTTTTACCATTTTTTCTGTACCTATTTTGAATCACCCTGTATATGTAGTGTGCTATTTATCATTTCTAGTTGTGTGACCTTATGCCAAATTGTGAGAAATCATTTAATTGGTTGGTAAAATTAGAACCAATTGTTAAACTAGTTATTCACATTGTGTTTGTAAACAAAAACACACTTTAAATAGTCTACTCTAAATTTTCACGGAATTTTAGAATTCTACTATCTCATATCAAACAAATATAAATTAATTTTCGATATCTGTGTATCCAAATTTAATTAATGCTTAGTAATTTTTTTCTTAACGAGTGCGTTACTTTAATCATGTTGTTTTGACTTTCTACAGTTCTCTATCTTTCGACTTTAATTTTTCTTTTCACTTATCGGCCGTCTTCCTGTTCACTAATTATTTCATTTAGTATACCATTTACCATGCACACAGGCATCCAACTAATGATGAAATTATATACAAATTTCTAAGATAATGAGATGGGCAAATATAATACGATACAATACAAGCGATCTATGCGCTCAGGTGATTTCAGAAGGGCAAGAAAGCAAAACAGCAATTTAATAAAAGATACAGACGCAAATTTATCTTTGACTGATAGACCTGTAATGATAACAAAACACACAATATTTGTGACCTTATACATTATCAACAGAACTTATTACTATGTATTTACAAAACACTGATTCGTTGTCCGTTTTCTTATTGACTGTTAGGGCTGGTTAGTTGACTTGATTTTTTTCCATTTTTATTGTGAAATTATGACATATTTTTATTATTCAATTCTATTTTATATATCCTGTCTTTTCGTATGCGTAGAAAACGTCTGCGGATGAGTAACACTCAAGCTCTATACCTATTGGTGAATGAACGAACGATGATGAGTCTATCTCTAACCATACAGGAAGTGTATAAGGAACACGCGCAACCTAATGGGTTTCTTTACATTACCTATGCAGCGCAAGAGGCATTTGGAGCTCGGGAAGATTCCGAGTCTAAAAAGGAAACCATTCAACTTTTATCTGCAATGAATGCCACTTCTGCTACACTTCCACTACTGAAATAATAATATAAGAGGAGATGGAAAAAGACTGAATACAACTCATTTTTCTGTTATATAATTTAAATAAGCATCAGAATCGTATGTAAACGGAAAGAACATAAAGTTTGATTTTTCATTAAAACGATACGATTATTTTAAATTACATTTAGCACTTCGACCAAACCAAATATTATGTAGTGTCCATAACCTAGGAATAAATTCGATTAAAATTCAAGAAGTTTTTTGAGAAAAATCTTCTTCTTCAGCCTGTTTCCATCCACTCCTGGACAAATGCCTCTTCCAGGTTTTTCCACCCCTGTCTGTCCTGAACACTCAGAATCCAGTTCTTGCCACCCTTCGTCTAGTATCTCTGGGCCGCCACTGCATTATGATCTTATTATGATTATTATATTTATGACATGACTCTAATTCTTTCTGTGATGACCTCGTTCCTGACTCGGTCCCTCAAACTGATCCCCAGCATCGCCCGTTTGCACACTCTGAGTCGGCTTATCCTGTTTTGTGTCAGAGTTATAATTCTGAGGCAGTAGGTCATGACAGGTAAGATGCAGGCGTCGAATACTTCCCGCTTCAGGTTGAAGGATATGTCCGGGCTTTTGAGGATGTAAACAAGTTTTCTAAAAGCCTCCCACGTCAGGCCAATTCGCCTGGTAATTTCTGCTGTGAACAACCTCGAGCCTGTGGTTGTCGAGTGTGACCTGGATGTCATCTTGACTAATGTTAGTCTTTTGGAGGTTCATCCTCAGGCCCACGGACTAAGAAGCTTCCTTCAGCTCTATCCGCATGAGTTCAAGCTCGTCGGCATCACCGCTTACCAAGACAATATCGTCAGCGAAGCGAACGTGAGTCAGGAACCTCCCATCGGTGTTAATGCCTTCCTTCTGCCATGTCAGGATTTTAAACACGTCCTGTAGTTCCATGGTGATCAATTTTAGGAGATTGGCCATGTCGTTTGAACTCCTCTTTTAATAGGGATCCTCCTGATGACTAGGTCTTCACCGGCTTTAACGTGGAGTGGCAGGTTCATATATATCTCGAATACGATTCGAGTATCTTGAGTCAATACTCGCAGCGTCCATCGCGTCTGCCACAGAATCGAAAGCTTTCTGGTAATCGATGAAATCCAGGTGTAGTGGGACGTTGTACTCAGGGCATTTCTCGATCAGCGTGCAAACTACCTGGATGTGGTCTACCGTGCTGCACCCCTTCCTGAATCGAGCTTGCTCTACAGTTTGGTAGAACTCGAGCTTGTTGGTGATTATTTTGGTAAAGAGCTTGTACAACAGGGAGAGGAGGCTAATCGGCCGGTAATTATCGGTGTTTGTAGTCGTCCTCGAAAAGAATGGTGACCTCAGCACTTCCTTCCTCAACAATCCTTCCTTCTTCGAGGCACTTGTTAAAGAGGGTGAGAAGTGCCTTGAGTAGAATTTCTCCTCCAGTCTTCAGCATCTCACTCGTCACTTGGTCTTCTCCGGGAGCTTTACGATTTCGCATCTGTTCTAATGATGCTCTTAGCTCCCACCTATCAATTTCAACCGACGTTCTGGACCACTCGACCTCTGTGTTCGTGGAGATAGACAGGTCCTGGTACTGACTGGTCTGCGATAGAAGTTCTCGATTATCCCAGCGATTTTGCCTTTCCTTGGCACAACTACGCCACGCTCGTTCCTCATCTTATACATGAGTTATTTTTCGCTAGCGGTTCTGAAACGGAATACCCTCATGTTCATATTGTTCTCGATGGCTTCTTGAATCATCCGTGAGCTGTGAGCTCTGAAGTCTCTACGAATGTCTCTCTTTACTAGTTTGTCCAACTGGCCGTACTTCGGTGTATCGCGATGCGGCCTTGACGTACGCGACGTCCATGACCCTTCCGGTGATGACATGCTATGGAAACCACCACAGTGACTGTTAGAGCAGCCAAAAACTTCATAGCATGCAGATAGCAATAGAGCGAATTATGTTGGAAATATCACTTCGAGATCATGAACGAAACGAAGAAATAAGACGACGCACGAAGGTGGAGGATGTGATAGCACTTGTAGCCAATTTAAAATGAACTCGGGCAGGAGCCAGACAAGAAAATACAAGATGGACAAAACACATTCTACAATGGAGACCTAGGTCTCTAAACCAAGCATCGGACGACCACAAAGAAGGTGGATTGACGATATAAGAGAGAAAGCAGAAAGAAACTGGCACCAAATGGCAAGGGACAGGTTGTAGGGGAGAAGACGAGGGGAGGCTTATGTCCAGGAGTGGACCGAAAAAGGCTGCTAAAGAAGAAGAAGAATATGCAGTGCGATTGCCACAGAGAAGACTTTTTCTAGACAAGTGTTTTCCTGATTAGTAGGAGATTGCAGGAAACTGGTAACGTGCAACCCCTTTCAGCACCTGTAAGAGTTCGCAAAACACGCACCGTAGAAAATATTGTTAACGATTATGCACGAGAAAGATATCGGACGCGGCGCGAAACGTCACGGGAAGCTCGAAAAGTGTTTATAAGTCCATTGTCATTTGAGATTTTATAACTCTTGAGCACTAATTAATAACACACAAAAGTGGTTCATAAAACAAGACTGACTATGTTGATACAATATATAAGGAAGGACTACATCATTCAAGTATCGAAAGTATTTTAAAGATATACAATAATATGCGTCCTCTAATACAGTGTTGCTAGATTGATATGTTAATATGGGAGTTATTTGTGATAGATCGCTGAACTGTCAACGACAATCAGTTGTACAGTTATAGAATCACATGCGATTTAATTAAAGACGTCCCTCATTTGCTGCCTGACGTCACGTTTTGTGACGTAACGTTGAAGAAGAGTTGACCAGACCATGACCAGACTATACCGTTGACGTAACGTGACTTGACGTTTTGTGGCAACCAATCAGAAATAAGATGTTCTCACAGAATATCTCCCCTGGGGATGATTATTTTAATGTATATGTTAATGTATTTGGTGCTCCTGAAAAAAGGCTGTTCTGTACTTGGCACGTAGATAGAACGTGGAGAAAAAATATGACTAAAATTGGTGGGAAGGAAAAGCAAATTCAGACGTATAAAATACTGCGTACAGTTTTAGAAGAAATTGATAGAAATACTTTTAATTTTATGATCAAGTCAGCCATGTCCCACTTATTAGGAGATTCTGCGACAAAGCCATTTGGGGAATATTTTCAAAAGGAATATCTAACATCTACTGAGTCATGGGTTTATTGGCATCGGTTACATTCAGGTTTGAATACAAATATGCAATTGGAACGGATGCATAGAACCTTCGAATACATTTATGTTCATAAGAAAAGACTGGATACAATGCTGTCTGTATTAATTAAATTTGTACGTGATCGACTCTATGATAGGATTATTACTTTGCATAAAGGAAAAATTACAAAAAAAGGATCTGATATTAGAACACGTCATCAATCAAGTCTAAATTTAGGGGAACATCACATAGTAAAAGATAAAACTGGATGGTCTGTTGTTTCCAGTAAGTGTTCTGAAGTGTATTATATATAAGAAATTATGAAAGTGTCTCTGAAATTTACGTTGCTTACCATGTAACACATGCATTCACAAATGTTCTTGCAGCTGCGTGGACTGCAGTGTGAAATCGAATATGTGTAAGCACATCCATCTTTTATGTACTTGTATATCCAAATCAAGCAACAGTACGTATAAMAATATGCATTTGACAAACTGTGATATTATTGAGCGGAAAATTTTAATAAAAGAACTTTCAAAAAATAAAACAGCTAAGAGGACAAACACGGAAAATTTTAAATTGGAAAAAGAAGACTTGCTATGCAATTTAGAGAAGTACTTGATGCAACTACAAATGTTGAACAAGTTCAGATWCTAAAAAATCATCTAAAGGCAATGAAAGTTGAAAAAAAARTGTTTGAGGAGTAAAGACTATCTATWCCTAACCACGAAGACTGCCAAAAAATTGCCCTCTYTTTAATTATTACTTGAGTATTCACTGTTATATTAAATACAAGGTGTTRCTGAAATAAATATTCTAAAGTTGAGATTTGATAWACCATGATGTTTRATGTTTAACCACASCATGYGCACATAAGTACTCAATATTATACCGAATTTAATTACATTAATTTTTTTCTTATTCCTTGACTTTACCATTATGCTCTATAGGAATATCCTACATTTTGTAATGGATTACTTGTAAGACACAARAAGTACGGCGCATCCATATTAACTGTTYATTAAGAAAAAATGATTCTAACGGTGACTGACTTTTCTGAATTACGAGTGTAATCTAAAATTTAGGTACTTATTTCTGAAACACCCTGTATAATAATTATTAATATTAATCCACATTTTCGTTTTTTATATACATACATAATCCAAGTAATTATTTTTTTAAGTGGACGTTTTTAAGTCAATGTTGTTGCCAAGCCATCTGCTGAATTTTAAAAGTGGTTAGGCTAGATTTTATTATTTTATTTTTATTATTGTTGGATTTAAATATTGCAGTAGAAATTGACATTATAAGGATTAGATATATGTACTTAGTATTTCTTTCCACAAAAAATTTACCACAAATATGTATGTAAAACTGTTCAATAAGAAATAAATGTTCTGATGGAAATCTGATTTTGGTTTCATTTAAATTTTAATTTTACATTTAGTCGAAATAGCATTACTTAACATCATTAAAAAATATTTAGTATTTTGAGTTTCTTCTACTCCCTACTACTAGACTTAATTAATTTTCCTCATATGCAGACAAAATAACTATTTAAAACTACCGCCACGAAGCGTCAAGTCAAGGATCGTCAACGGTGCCATGATACTAAAACTAACAGTTTTAGTATCATGAACGGTACAATTATGCCGCGTGCTGCGACTATCCGCTTGTGCCAAATCTTACTTGCATAGATTTATATTTATGGGATAGATTAAAACACCTGGTTTTGCAAGACAAACCTACAACCAGAGAATGGGTTATGAAGGGAAGAATTAAAAATGCCATTAGAACTAGACCTGGGAAGTTTAGTTCACCTTGCTGATTTCCATCTTTCAATCTCGGTCAGCAAAGTGAATAGTACAAAAGATTAGTTCGTTTAGTTCATTTAATTCAGTAGGTTAATTTTCATCATTGAATGAAAATATTATAAATAAACCGTCAATTTAACTTTAGTTATACTTCCAATACGTTATAATTGACATGTTTTATAC